CAAAATTAAGAACTTTCACTTTCCAATAAATTTAGAGATGATAAATTATGATACTTTAATAAAAAGCTTAAATTTGGTGTTCAAGGATAGTTCGAGTATTTTCGTAAATAGGAAAATTTTTACGCTAAAAAGATGTAATGAGACGATTATTGACTTTTCAATTAGGGTTAAAACTGTCTGTTCTCTTTGTAATTTTAAACCGCCTTTTGATGAACTTTTAAGAGATATATTTATCCTAGGAGTAGGCTTACTTGAGTTGGACAAAGAACTTCGGTCAAAGTATATCGAAGGCAATATTACTTTTGAAGAGACCGTGCGTTTAGCGATCGCGCTGTCTTCGTTGGAAAATAAAACCCAGACTGAAGTTAATAAAATAAATAAAAATAAGCCAACACAGGGTTCGAAAAATAATTATTTTAGAAATAATAATTATACAAACGTCAATAGATTCAATAATAATAAACACTTAGTAACAATTATATTCCTAATAATAATTATAGACCTAGTATCAAACCTAACTCTATTCAAAAGAAAGTGATATGCTTTCGTTGCGGTAAGGCAAACCACATAGCGAAAGATTGTAGAACCCATGCCATACAAATGATTCTGCCACGGACACCTCGCCTGTCATTTTCAAATAAAGCAACCATCGATGCGAAGATAAATGGGTTGCAGCTAGCTATGGAGTTTGATACCGGCGCCGCGTGTAGTGTGATTGATGAGGTCACCTGGAATCGTATTGGCAGACCACAACTATCACCGGCTTATAAATTAGTGGGATATAATCATATCCAAATCGAAGTACTAGGTAAATGTACCGTAGAAGTCAAAGTAAAAAATATTTCGAAATTTTTACTTATTTGGGTAATTAAAGGGGAGAATTCCCTTATTTTTGGGATGCCTTTCATTAGAGAATTTGATATAAAACTACCGGAAGAAGTTCGTATTAATAAAATAAATATGAATATTCCCTCTTTAAATACGATTGTTTCAAAATTCCCTCAAGTTTTTAAAAAAAATTAGGTGAAATCAAACTGCAAAAGGCAGTCATCCGAATAGAACCGAACACGTTACCGATTGCATTACCAGCAAGCAAGAAGAGTTCCTTTTCCGTTGCGTCGAACCATTGAAGCTGAGTTGGACAGACTTTTAGACGAAGGCGTTATCGAGAAGGTGGATCCAACAATAACTCCAATCACTTGGGCTACGCCAACGGTTAATATCTTAAAGAAATCCGGTGCCGTACGGATATGCGGAGATTTTCGTTTAACAATCAACAAATATCTAGCGATCGATAACGATTTACTACCAACTTTCGTCGACCTAACAAATAAAATCGCGGGTGGTAAAATATTTTCAACAATAGATTTAAGAGATGCATTTTTACAATTCGGAGTTAGTCCAGAATGTAGGGACCTTTTAGTAATTTTGACAAATGTCGGTTATTACCGATACCAAGAATTCCATTTGGTTTGACTAGCGCTCCGATAATATTCCAACGCTTTATGAAAAACCTATTAAAGGAAATTCCTATGATTAGTGTATTTTTAGACGACATAATTATTGCAGGTGAGAATAATTCCGATCACATAGTTAATTTGGAAGAAGTATTAAGAAGATTTGAGAAGGCTGGACTGACCACGATGACCGATAAAATTAAAATCGGAGAAAAGTCAGTCACTTATTTAGGTCATGTTATTGACAGTTTCGGAATTCACCCTACAGAAGATAAGATTAGCGCTATAAAAAATTTTAAAACACCTTCCAATGTTAAAGAACTACGTTCATTTCTTGGAATAGTGAATTATCATGAGGCATTTATTAAAAATTTGCATTCTATTTGTGCGCCTTTACAACGACTAACGAGTAAAAATGTTGGTTGGTTTTGGTCAGCTAAAGAAAATGAAATATTTACTAAAGTTAAAAATATATTGTCAAAAGAAGATACAATAATTCCTTATTCAGCCGATATCCCTGTCGTGATTTCTTGTGACGCTTCCGAAGATGGTCTAGGAGCTGTTATTGCACACCGATTTCTTACTGGCCAGGAGAAACCGATTGCTTACGCATCGAGGACACTTTCGGCGGCTGAAAAGAATTATGCCACAATTGATCGGGAGGCTTCGGCGATCATATTCGCTATCGAGAAGTTTCATCAATATATTTTTGGAAAACATTTTATCTTGGTTACTGATCATAAACCATTACAATATATTTTAGGTGATAAAAGAGATCTTAACAAAATAACAAATAACCGTTTAATACGGTGGGCGACGAAACTATTAAATTATGATTATGAGATAATATATAGACCAGGTAATCAAAATAAATGTGCCGATGCTCTGTCCCGTTTGGGGGTAGAGAAAGCAAAAACCAATGAAGTTACAAAAAAATTCGAAGAAGAAATCAGAGGATTAAAAATTAATTTAATAGAGGATTTATCTTTCACACGCAGTAAAGTCGTAAGTGAAACGAGCAATGATATAAACCTAAAAGAGATTATTAAATTAATAAAAAATCATTGGTATATTGATAATATAAATAATTATTCGGAGATTGTAAAAAATATATTTCGATTAAAGATAATATTTCGTTCGAAGAAGGATTATTATTTTATAATGATAGAATTATTATTCCAGATATTTTAAAAAAGGAGGTTTTATATGTGATTGATCGAGGACATCCTGGGATAGTGGGGATGAAATCATTGTGTAGATATTACGTGTTTTGGACAAATCTCGATACTGATGTTGAAGACTTTGTTAAATGTTGTAAGAGTTGTCAAGAAGGAAGGCCGGGAGCGAAAGAAGTGCCATTATACAATTGGAACATTCCTACCCGACCTTGGGAACGATTACACATTGATTTGACAGGCCCCGTATCTGGAAAATATTGGTTAATTTGCGTAGACGCTTTTACCAAATGGGTTGAAGTTGCAATTTTAACACATATTAATTCGGCGAGTGTAATAAATAATCTGCGTAATTATTTCGCTAGATTTGGGTTACCTCGCTACATTGTCTCAGATAACGGTACTCAGTTTACTGGATCTGAATTCAAAATGTTTCTTTTAAAAAACAATATAAAACATTTTAGATCGGCCCCTTATAGCCCCAAATCGAATGGTTTGGCTGAACGATATATACGGACGATAAAGACGCATTTCTATGCTGGAAGGAGATGTGGGACTTCGGACCAGTTAAATTTAGCGAATGTTTTAATTACTCACCGTAATACTCCCAATGCAACTACTGGTAAATCCCCTGCCGAGATGATGTTTGGAAGGTCGCTTAGGACGACATCAGATCAGTGGAAATTATCAACGAGAGAAAGGACGGAAAACGCTCTATGGAAACAAAAGTACTACAAAGATAGAAGTGTTGAACCTCGGGAGTTTGAAGAGCAGCAAAAAGTTTGGATAGCAAACGAAAGGACAGCAGGGTGGCATGAAGGAAAAGTGTTACAACGAAAAAGCGCAATATTGTACGATGTGGAATCAGAGGGGATCGTTAAAAACAAGCATGCAGATCAATTGAGGGATGCACATACACAAGAGAAGGAAATACCCGTTACGTTGACCGAAGAAGTGGAAAAGGCAGAACATGAGAATACAACTCTTGAAAAAAGAGTTTCGAAACCCCCACTACGTTATCACGATGAATTCAATTTATAGTGGGGAGAACTGTAATATAAATGTAATTGTAAATTGAATTTAAATTGAATATAATATTAACTTTTCGTTTGTAAATTACATAACCTGAAGGATTGAATTCATTATATATATATACGTGATATTTTGTATTAAATATACTTTTACTTACTTTACCTATTTTACTTATTTAATAAAACACTTCATAATCTAAATCGGATCTGTTGTAATTATGTGTATATGATAGAGAGATATGGAGATTGATGTTGTATAGAGTGTTGTGTATTTTTTTAAAATGAATAACGTTTTTTATTTTTTATGATAAAAGGAAAAAGGAGAAGAAATATATTTTTGATTATTAATAAATTTATTTGAATTTAATTGTAAATTTAATAAAAGAATAATTATATTTTTTGTACGAAAGTTTTGGATTTAATTGTAAATTGAATAAAATAATTTTATTTTTATACGAAAGTTTTGGATTTAATTGTAAATTAAATAAAATATTTTATTTTTTAAAGTTTTGGATTTAAATTTAAATTGAATAAATAAATTATTATTTTTTAAAAAATTGATCCAGAGCCTAGTATGATTTTTCTATCATGTTAACTTGATCGAGACTTGAACCTATGAGATATGTGTATGCTGAATCACTACAATCAAGGATTTTCGAAAAATGAAAATTATCTTGATTTAGATATAACAAAATTATTACCGCTGTTTTTTAAATAATATTTAATATACCCTTTCTTTCTTTCTTTCTTTCTTTCTTTCTTTCTTTCTTTCTTTCTTTCTTTCTTTCTTTCTTTCTTTCTTTCTTTCTTTCTTTCTTTCTTTCTTTCTTTCTTTCTTTCTTTCTTTCTTTCTTTCTTTCTTTCTTTCTCTCTCTCTCTCCTCTGCTCTCCTCTCCTCTGCTCTCCTCTCCTCTCCTCTCCTCTCCTCTCCTCTCCTCTCCTCTCCTCTCCTCTCCTCTCCTCTCCTCTCCTCTCCTCTCCTCTCCTCTCCTCTCTCCTCTCCTCTCCTCTCCTCTCCTCTCCTCTCCTCTCCTCTCCTCTCCTCTCCTCTCCTCTCCTCTCCTCTCCTCTCCTCTCCTCTCCTCTCCTCTCCTCTCCTCTCCTCTCCTCTCCTCTCCTCTCCTCTCCTCTCCTCTCCTCTCCTCTCCTCTCCTCTCCTCTCCTCTCCTCTCCTCTCCTCTCCTCTCCTCTCCTCTCCTCTCCTCTCCTCTCCTCTCCTCTCCTCTCCTCTCCTCTCCTCTCCTCTCCTCTCCTCTCCTCTCCTCTCCTCTCCTCTCCTCTCCTCTCCTCTCCTCTCCTCTCCTCTCCTCTCCTCTCCTCTCCTCTCCTCTCCTCTTCTCTCCTCTCCTCTCAAACAGGTTAGAATTTAGATTATACATTATATATATAGAATATCATGTGTTTCTAAAAATTCGTATTTTAGAGGCATTTAAATAATATGATTGTGACAGTGCAAAGAAACTTAAAAATATCTAAAGTAAGTGTTTAATTAAATTATATTATATGGCGTTGTATTGCATATGCTTGAATTATTAAATAAGTTAAATCAAAATAGTTTATGATTTGCAATAATATAATTAAATTTTTTCATATATTTTATATGGATTAGTTTTGTATTTACATATATTTTTTATAAAATGATTATTTTTAAATTTAAATTAAGCTAAAACAATGATATACCATGCTATTATTGATAGTCTGTTTAAGTTATGAAATTGATTTTATATATTCTCATTTTTCACAGATTCAATCTGATTTATTATATTTGTAATCTCCCATCTGATAACTGATACAAATTTGATATTTAGGTTGATTTATATTTATAATTTATCCTTGAACCAATGTGATAAAATCGATATTTTATATTCAAAAAATAATTAACTGTAAACCATGGGCAAACTATAAAATAGTTTGAAATTTTCTGTTTCTCATCCAAGATGATTTGATGCATTATCAAAATGGTTAATATATCATTAATAGTAAGCACACATTGTTCAAGTGATATGTATCCCTTGATATTTTTCAAAAGCAAACAAATAATATGTCAAATTTTTAATCTATAGCAATGCAATTCATTTCATTGCATCGTGAATAATTTTAAATTTCACCTATAATTTTTGACTAAAATAATAATATTCACTCTTGGTGTTCATGAGTTGGACTTGGTCTAGGAATGGGGGGGGGGGGTTAAAATATAAAAATATACGGGTATTGTAATGATATTTATAAGTTCAGTAGGGTTGGTTTATAGCTGGGGGGGGGGGTCAGAAATATTAAAAGCTAGTTAAAATATTTCTTTGACTGAAATATTAGAATTTACTCTTAGGGTCTTAAAATGTGTTGGACTTGGTTTGGATGGGGAGGGGTAGGTTAAAAAACAAAAATTTAATATGGTTAAAGATAATTAAAATATTTTTTGATTATAATGATAATTTTCTCTATAAATGGGTTGGCTCAAGTCTTGGGGGTTCAGGAAAATTTTATTAGCCTAAAATATTGATAAGAGTATCCAAATAGAAGCTATTTAAAATATTTTTTGACTCAATAGTATTCACTCTTGGTTTTAATGGGTTGGATTTGGTCTAGGGTGGTGAAGCGGAAAACTAAAAATTTACTATGGGTATCAACTAAGGTAAATTAAAATATTTTTTGATTGTAATTATAATTATCACTCTAAATGGGTAGGTCTAAGTCTTGGGGGTTAGGGGGTCAGGAATATTTTATCAACACAAAATGACCATAATGTTAAATATAAATTTATGTGGTAGTGTCTAGGTCTTAGGGGTCAGGAGTATTTTTAGCAGCACAAAATATTTATATGGATATTAAATAAAAGGTAAATAAATCTTTTGACTATAGTGTTAAATATCATTTTAAATAGTAAGGCCTAGGTAGTAGGGGGTCAGGAATATTATATCAGCATAAAATATTGATATGGGTATCAAATAGAAACCAATTAAAATAAAGGAAAAAATTTGATTCTTCATCATTCTTGATGAACTATTATTTATTATTTTATTGATAAAAAGTTTTTAGGTATATAAATTTAGTATTGATAAAATACTTTAATTGAAAGATAGCCATCACTTGTCTCTTAATCTGCCTGATTTAGCAGTTCATTTGAAATATTAAGTAAAACTCCAGGGATATTTTCTAATCTAAAAATTGGGAATCTCGCTTATCCTAGAAAAATCTTTTTGCATACAAACAAGTTTATTAAAAAAGAACATTTAAATTTTTTTTATCCCTATTCTAGAAAATAATATTAAGTCTTTATAATTAAAATGTTAAAATTCTCTTCTGTCAATTATATTTATAAGGAAAAAGAATGAATTTTAGGGCTAAGAACATTTCTATATTCTAACTTGGGTAGCTGGCACAGTCAAGCAATAAAAAAATGTCAAAAAATAATTACTGATACTTATCCAGAGACCTTCATGGGCCTGGATTTTTTGACCAGGCCTGGCCAAGGCCCACAGTAAAATTTTTTATAAGCCCACCAAGCCCATTAAAAAAATTCGATGCACGAAAAATAATATATAAGCAGCGGGCCGGCCTGGCCCATGAAGGCATCTGTACTTGTCTATTAAAACTGATTATTAACCATCAGGTTTAAACCGATTTACAGGTTTTTAAAAGTTCTGTTCAGGTTCACGTGAAAATTTTTGAACTGTTCAGGTCTTGTTTATGTTAGGTAATTATGTTTGGTTTGAATTCCTGAATATTATATAGCTATTTACTAAACCATTTTTATTATTTAACAATTTAATCTGGGTATACTAATTCGCCCAAGAAATTGATTTCAGAAATAAATGTAAATTACTTCTTAGAGTACTTATGCAACATTACACCAACTCTGATTATAAAAGTATTACAATTTTACTCCTGATATTAAATTGGGTAAATATTTTATTGATGGTATGGTAGAACTCGGGCCATCCCCTCATGACTTTAAGCAAGCTGCTTTATAATATAAACCTAGGCATAATTATTGAGGAAAATAAAAAATACCTTATCTTATTGAAAGCTGGTTTAAGAGGTGCCGCCCCTTAGTATTTTGGCAGATTGTGTTACTGAAAATTTATAAGCACAAATAGTTAAAATTAAAAATAAAAGTAAAAATCTACTCATTTAAAATTTGATAATTTATTGATTTTTGAAAATTTTCCATATGCATTTTTTATCGATGCAGCTGTTATAAAAAGCAAGATAAGCACGAATGGATCACATAACTATTATTCATACTCGGTTTTCCTTTAAAATTTTTTATAATTTGTGTCATGTGGTACTAACCTATCATTTAAAAAAAAACAACCAATAACAATATTATATCTAGCTATAATTTTAAATTTTGGAATACGCTAAATTGGAAAATTATATACATTGTTGTGCAGATTTCTTGGAAATCATTTCCATATTTTTTAATTTATTTGCAAAAATTATTTAACTTGCAGAAATTTCCATCAAATCTGCACAAAATAAACCGCATAATCAATAACACTTCCTTTATAAGTTTTCTTACATTTAGCATATTAAGATGTTTTCCGTAGTTAAAAAATAAGGTGCGCCCCGGTTTTACTGACCACTAGATTCCCAGATTTTAAACATTTAGTCCGGTTTTTACTATTATATTAGCCACTATTTATTTTAATCAAAGAATGATCAAGATTATAATGTAGAAAAATATTCTTTTGATCCTTAACCTGGCCAATACCAGGATTGAGCATCGACTAGAATCAGAGATAGGCATAATTACTCAAAAATTATAATTAATTCCTAATTACAATTACTTACAAACTTGTAACTAATTATAATTACTTATATTCCTTTTCTAAAAACGGTAATTAATTACTAATTACATATAATTGTGATTTTCTAATTACAATTCTTTTTATAATAAAATTAACAATTATTAGATTTAAAGAAAGTTAATAATCTCATTTAAAATATTTGTAATGTTCATGGGTGAATGAGTGTTGTTGAACAGCTCCATTTGGCCGATTTTTAAAAAGGACTAAATCAAGATTTTAGCCAAAATATTATTATCTAAGCCTTAGAATTTGGCCAATAGAAGCGCAAATCTTTCTGCCATATGTGGGCAAAATAAATAAGCTTTAACAATTTACTTTTGGCCAGAATCTTGAGTTAACCATTTTTGAAAATTGGCTAAATCGAGCCGTTACACTAGCTGAATGTGATATATATTTTAAAATCCTTTTCTTATTGCAGATAATATAACAAAGAATAGTGTAAAATTTTAAACTATTTTTTTAAACATTACAAAGAATAAATTGTATTTTAGTTCCTTTCATTAATTTATTGTTATGAAATTATTTATAAAATAAAAAAATTATAAAATTATATACAATCATAAAATAACCAAAAACAATAAAAAATATCAGATCCGTTTTTAAAAAATATTGGCCAGATTCGATATTTTTTGAAAACGCTAAATATCGGTGCCGATCCGATCTTTAATATCGGCACAACCCTAGAATATAATGTTTGTATTTATTACGCTTTTTTCATAAAAATTAAATAAATAGGAAAAGGGATTATAAATTTAATTATCAATTATAATAAATTATATTATAACAGATAATTCCTAATTACATGCCTGAAAAAATGCAATTAGTTATAATTATTAACTCCTTTTTTAAAAGTGGAATTATAAAAAAGGGATTGTATTTATATAATTGTAATGCCAACCCAACCTTGATTAGAATATAATTGAGAAATGAAATTGTACCTAGCTTACAAATTTTTACAGAGCTCTTCGACGTCACTTATATTATATTTTATAATTAAAATTGTTTCTTGCGCATATTATAATATATAACTTTATTTTCCTTTTTGAAATTAAATATATTACGAGACCTCTCCTTTGAGGTTTGAGTGAAATATTTTTTAACCTGAATAATATTTTAAATGTTTTTGTTTCTTGCTTCTTTATTTAAAACATTTAATAAAAAAAATAAAGTGTTTGACATTTCGGGGAAAAAATGGAAAGACATTTTAATAAATAAAACGAATTTATATAATTTAATAAATTCGAATATATATATGTTAACAATTGGCGTAGCCAGAATTTACTCAAGGGGGGTGGGGGTAGGGTATAATTTTTTTTGAGGGTTTCGCCTCCATATTTATATTTGCCCAGCCTTCAACCAGGTTCCTCCTATAAAAATTATAATTGAAATTAAATTATATTGATTGTTGCATGGTTATTTTCTTTTTAATATCTAATATCTTTATATCATCTCCTTTAAAGTTGGCTGAACCGTTGGAAGCTTTCTTCTAAAATCTATGCTAATGTTTCATGCTTTATTAGAGCCTATGAGTGCTTTATCCAGTATACCAGACAGTATAAAGGAAAAAATTATTAATAACAAAATTTTGGCCAACTTAACGATTAAAAAATGACTGAAAGAATTTGTTCGGAAAATTTTATCAATGTTGTTTAGTGCTTAATTGTATATTATTTCAATCCGTTAGGTACACAGTATAAAAAAAAGTTAATAAAAATAGGATAAAATTGGCACTGTGTTCGAATGGAAAATATAGAAGTGATTGCGCTAACATTTAGTTTCTGACTAGCACTTAATCAATTTTGAGAATCACTAAAAACCGAGTTATAAACAAAACGAAAGCTAATATGTTACGCTTTAAGCTTGAAGAGCCTATACCAAACCATTGTGTAGTGCTTGTATATTTTATTTTATTTGTTAGATGGTTTAAAGGGGAAAAAAATTATTGGTAAAATAAGAATTTTTTTTAAAAAATTAGCATCATAAGAATATAGAAGTTCTAAATATCTAGTTTGGCTTAATTTTTAATGCCTTACATATTAATTCTTCAATCAATTTTGTCAACCACAAAAAAAATAACCGAATTACAAGCCAAATAAACTAAACTTCTGAAAATATTAACTGAACTCTAATCAATAATTAATGGTTAGTATATTTAGTACTTAAACCCGTTTTATAGATAGTTTAAAGAAGAACTCATTATCGACAAAAAATATTTCCAGGTTGGCATCATGCAGAAGGGCGATTATAGAAGCATTGAATTAAATGGGTGAACCAAATATTATAAATTAAAGTCAAAAATAACGGCATGCCTCTATCAGAGTTTTAAATATCGGATTTTAAATTGCATTCAAAAATCTATTTCATTTAAATACATTAAGGTTTCCTCGATTCAAAATCATTTGTATAGATATTATTTGTTTTTTTCCGTTTATCTAATAGATAGAATTCTCGTAGATTTTAAAGATTTTTTCACTTACTTTTTTAGTAGAAGAAATTTCTGAGGTTATTTTGTGTTAGAAAATAAAGGATAAGGTTTTATCAATTTTAAATGAACTGAAAGAAAATTATTGTCTAGATTTCATATAAAAGTTCTGTAAAAACAAAAATTTTACCTAATCATATTTTTGTACTCCTCATTCTTGTCTACGCCACTGATAAACACTATAAATACTTCAAGATATTACATATAGAAAAGATAGATATTTTTAAATATTTTTTTTATCAAAAAGTTATTGACGAAAAGTAAAATCATTAGTAATGCCATCCTTTTTTGAGTATAAAAGTAAAGGTATTTTGAAATGCTACTCTCTTTTTGATGCAACTGAAATAAAATGTTAGGTGTATTTATAGATTTAATATTGTTGTTTTGTTATTTTCCAAATAATAATCAAATTTTCATCATCGATTTAATAATACTTTTTAATACCGTTTTCCAAAGATACGTTCTGATAACAACTCCAATCAAACTGTGCCTCCGAATTTATTACTAAGTCAAAATCGTGCAACTAAAAGCCTTGATGATGATAATAAAAATCATTTAGATGCCCCAAATTCACAGAAAATTCAAAGCGAAAATAATGATGGGCAACACCAGGAAAATGAGTAAATTATTTGTTAAATTTTTTTTAACTTCTCATTTTGTTAAATTTCTTTAAAAATTTAACCTACCCTCCAAAGGTCAAAAAATTATGATTGCCTTCTTTTTTTTTTGCGGAGGTAAATGGGAGAGGGGGTAATTTTTATAAAATAATATATAAACCCTAACCCATATCTATGTTTCAGAAAATTACTAAATACTTAGAGCCGCCAGTTATACTTTTGATTTATTAATTCAGGATCATAACAGGTGATTTCACTGGGGGAGGGGAGCGCTGGAATTTATAAATTTGTAATAGGCGCGTACGCAGCGGGGGGGGGGGTCAGTTAAGCCAAAAAATGCAAATGCCGGATATATTTTTCAAAAATATTATTGTTTATATTAATTATATTTTATAATATTTATTCCTATCTCTTTCTTTTTTCATGACTAAATGCTTTGTATTTTTAACTATATTTGCCTATAAATAAAATAAAAAATTTATTTTTTATATCAAATTTATGTCTAGTTTTTTATTATGATTTAAATATAGAATTTTTTTTATCAACTCAAAAATTCTTGAACCCGAACCGAACCAAACCTGGGTTCAAAAATATTTCCCTAAACCGAACCCGAACCGAACCCACCTTTTTTTTATACCCGGAACCGAACCCGAACCGAACCCGGGCAAAAATTTTGTCGGGTTCGCATCCCTGGGTAGGCGGGTAAAAATTATTTTTAAAACAATGGGAGAGAGGGCCGGTGAATTTAAAATACTTTTCGGGCGAAATGAACATATAATCTTATATTTATTAACAATTATTTTTTTATTTTCAAAATATTGCATTAATATATGAAAATAAAAAAAATTTAAAAGCCAAATCAATTGATCCAATAATTTAAAAATGGGTGGTCGGGTTAAACCAATTTTTATGGCCTGTCAGCGAGTGGATTAAAATTTTTAAAACATTGGAGGGCTGGATTTCGGGGTTCTACTGCAGACATCCAGCGTAATTGCTATCGCGGTAACGTTTTTGTGATAACATGTGCCCAAAAATACATTTGATAAAACCAGTATTCGGTATTACTTTTTGAGGTTGACAAGTAGAATAGCATTAGTTAAAAACCCTAGCGATGAATCTAATTTTTTTTTATAAATGCAATTATATTATGATATCAATTTTAACCAGCTGAATAATCATTTATGATGATGGATCATTACATTCAATTGCTTATTTTTAATATAGCTTTGTAACCATTTAGAAAACACTCGAAATCATTTAAAATGACTAATTTTACTAGCAGGGGAAATACTATCCAGGCAGGCCTGAAATTGAGCTCAAGAAGTATAGGATATAATGACGCTAAGGGTTAAAATAAATAATTTACGAAATGTCTTATGAACTAAATCATTTCAACCCCCCCCCCCCCCCCCACCCCCCACCCCCCTACTACCATTAATTATTTATTATGATAACCGAGAATTAAAATGGGAACAATTCTAACAATTTTTATTCTTTAATTTGATTCTTTTGCTTTTAAAATTTAACTATTAACCGATTAAAAAATTACATATTATTTTGAAAATGTATAATATTCGCTTTTGTTTTCACAAAATTATCCGACCTTATACTATTATCATCTCTTACTCTTATAGTATACAACATTTTTTGATTTAAATATTTTTAATATTATTTTCATTCATGGATTGTAAAATTTTTGTATATATCCTTTTTATAATTCTTATTTTCTTTCGAAAATTTCCCCTTTTTTTAGAATGCAATGTTTCCCTCATCCCTTCTTTACCATTATTACTTTATAAATCGATTCATTTCTTATATATAATCGTTATATAATATAATAAAGAAGAATTAGGTCATTCATTTACATTAACGTTAATCTTACATAATACAATATTTTTTTTGTTATTTTTTTAAATTAAAAAAAAAATCTCCTTATTCATGCAGGCAAGTTTTAACATAATGTTTATTAGTTATATTTTATAATGTATAAATAACCAGGAATTTATAATGCTAAAAGCAGTGTTGAGTTGATTATAAGATTGTGGGTACTAAAGCCCCACGCTTATTTTTAAAAAATATAATAGAAAAGAATGTGTTATTAAAATAAAATTATATTTTCTGAGAAGAACAAAGCAATATTTGTGATTTCCATTTTATTAAAATTTATAATAATGCGTTTAATTTATATTTTTCAATTAAATACGTCTAAAATTAAAATATTCAGGCTCGGGCTTAAAAATTAATATAAATTCTGGGGCCTTAAGCCAAAAAATGGAATTTGTTGGATTTTATATGGAGACTCCATAAAAAAATGCGAGAAATAAAAGAAAGATTTCCTAATTTTTTCGGTAAACCTCTCTCTATTTTCATATTGATAACATTTTTTAGAATCTATATAATAATAGCTGGTCGGCTTTGATTTAAAAAAAAATTAACATTTTTGAATAATTTATTACCTTTTTTGATACAGTTCGCTAATAAGATTAAATTAAATTCCTGTATATAGAGGTTAAGGTTGAAGAGAAATTACCGTGTCATATTTTAATTATAAAAAGATTATTATAATGAATAAATCTCTCAGTAGTTTTAGTTAATATATTTTGATAATTTTAAACATCTCTTATCTAATTTCGAAAACCTCTTACGTAGAGAGAAAGAAAAGATAAGAAAGGAAAGAAAAATTTAAGCGAGATATAAAGAAAATGTTTGGGCTACACTGAATATAATCATAATTTTAAAATTAAAATTAATAAAATTTATCATTTCATTTCATTTCATTTTACTTTTTTATTTTTGGAAAAGAGGTCGAATTTATAAATAACTTCCCATTCCCTTTCCAGTCATTACTTATATAAAAATTTTAATTTTTATGAACTCTACCAAAAAATGACCTACCATAGTATATAATATTTTTTTTAAAAAGTGCATCAAATAAATAAAGCATCATACATAATATAATAATGTTATTTAAAAAATAAGATTTTCGATCATTTTTTTCTTTCGTTAAAATCAAACAATAAACAACGCACTCATCCTAATGTGTGATTGCTTGATCATTATTGATTCTAGTAGTGACTAATTGTTTACATAAGCGCAAATTGGGCTTCGGTTAGTTTAAAGAGTTGACTGGATTAAATTAACCTATTTTTTTCCTACCTATAATTCATTCTTATTAGGAGTGGAAATAGTGAAGCAAATAAAATTCATCATAAATTTGCATCACAAAAGTGACTTCTAATTTTTGAAAAATTCTAGTAACATCTAAAATTTAGTTATATTTACTTTTTATGAACTCGGATTGATACCATAGTATACTTTAGGTGTGTATGGATAATTCATAACCAAATAAGGGGTTGGGTATAAACCACGGCAAACAGTACATAAGAATTTCATGCCAATTTTTTTATATTATGTTCTATATTGTATTGATTAATATTTTTTTAAAAAATAAGTAAAAAACTAGAAACTTATCTTACTCTGAAGGGAGCGGCAATCAACATATCAAATACTCAAATCAAGCGTAATATAGACAATAATTCTAGAGGTAAAATCTTGTAATATAAGAATGCACCAACAGAACATTAACCCTGAGCAAAAATAAGTTAATTTTCGGCCTGTTCCCATCAGATTATAAAAAAATTTGTTGGTATATTACATTACTTATAGTAAGTAACTAAGGAAATTATATTGACTTATGTTCCTTATTTTTTTGTTGATTATTTAAATTAGATACATGTAGGCCCACCTATAATAGTCCAATCTCTAACGGGCCTTGAAAAGAATATTTTAAAAATCAAGGCCGAGTTTTTAAAATTAAATTAAAATCAATTAACCAGTTGAAAATTCATACAATAAATAGATTTAACATTCATCCTCTTCTCATATCTTCAATTTCTCCTTTAAAAACCTTCACAAAAAAATTAAAAAAAAACACTAACCTAGTCACAAAATTTTAAAAATATATGCAGAGCCGGTCCGAAAATATATTTTTAAAAACGAGAAGCTTATGGGCCGGGCCTAAAAGTTTCAGATTATTATATATAATCTTAATACGCTCCCTGCCTGTTTATACTAAGAAAATATTTTGGCATAATTATTTTTCTTGGTTATCATGGGTACTTTCAATAAGCGAAATTAAATTTATAATATTAAGAAACTTTTGGGGATCAGGCCGAAACTTCATATATCTAATTTGCCTTGAAAATTATTTTTATGGGATGATTATTTATATTATTTTGCAGATATTTCTATATTCGAATAGGAAATATTCTATTACTATAATTATCTTTTTTGAAATATATAGATGACATCACCTTACATCTTCAAAAAATATTGGATCTTCTACGACCTCAAGACGATTTAAAATTAGTATAGCATATATTAAACAAAAACTTTTGATTTTATATAATTTTATGCATAATTTTAATTTTTCGAAATAAATACCAGACTTAGAACATTGTATATATTTCTGGTTCTCTGATGATCATAATTTTTTGGCGGATCGTTTCAGAACATTCCAAGAAATAGTTATTATAATATTTTATAAATAAATATTATAGGCCGTCAAGCTGGAAAGCAATTTCATTTCCGACCTCAAATACACGAACGATCAACTAGAGGACGAATTTTTAATAGGCCACCCTGCCTTGGTCGCCGATAAATCTTCCGCCACTTGCTTTGTTTCTAAGATGCGATATTTGGCCATAGTTTCGAACAAAGATTACTCTAGTGAAGATGAAAATACTGTCGTAGCGTCGACTATTACTAATAATAACGATAAGGGAGAGAGATACATTCTCTTGGGCGTGGACGGTATCACTAGGGGTATTATCCTTGCGCCTCCCGACCTTGTAACTAATCTGCCCAAAGATAAGAATGATATGAACGGCTGCGCTAAAAATACGAAGGACCATATAAATGCCAATGCTAATAACGGTAATGACAAAACAAAGATGGAACTTGCGGAATACCGCCAGGTCAAAAGCTGTGAATTCTCCGTGGGCTTAGCCCTACCCTTTGATCCGGCGAGTACACGTATTACCTTAGATGGAGATGGTGCTATATTGATTAGTCCTGCTTTAAATCCGCCCCCTTTAGTTGATCTCTATGACAAAGATAATTTGGAACATTCAAAGGACCTTTACTTCAAACCGATATGTGTTAGGGCTATGTGGTGCGCAGCTCAATGCCTGCACGAGCTCCTCTTCACCAGGTTTAAATTATTAAAGAAAGACATTATTTTCAAATGATTTTTTAAAACAATTTATAAATAATCACATTACGTTTTTTGTTTTATCTCCTCCAATTTATAACAAGCGGGTTATCTCGCCAGCGATCGTCTCCGAGCTACGCCTCGTCTTTAGAACACTACGACTCACTATCCAGACGAGCTCCCGACCCCGTAGCCTTTCGAGAATGGCGTGCTCTCCCTCCGGCTGATCGATCTCCAGCCTGTGCCTCCCTCTATTACGATCTGGCCTCAGCCCACTGCTATTGGACCCAAACTACTAAAACTAATCATCTCTCAGCTGACAATTCTAACCGCCACTTTAACATTAAAACGCTTTCACGGCATCAAAAATCTATCGTGACAGAAGCTCTGCGTCGCGTTATGTCTGTAGCGGATCCAGAGGAGGCAACTTTTCTCTCAATAAGACACGGCCTAGAACGAGAGTTAGCCCAGATCGGGCCGGAATGGCACGACGGAGACCTCTCTCTCCACCGCCCGGGGGAATTAAAGGCTTTCGTGGAAGAGCGTTTGCTTCTCATCTTGGGGAGGATGGATCGTGCTACCCCTGTAACCACTAACCTGTACCTGGGAAGCGAATGGAATGCTTCGAACCTTGAAGAGCTACGGGCTAATCGGTTACATTTATATATTTTTAAAAACAACTCAGGATAAACTAGCGGACTTCTAATTTATATAAGTCATGTGATTTAAAATCTTTTTTGATTTCAGACTTAGCAGGCTTTTATGTTAGGTATTTTTACTCAATTAGACCGGAAAAAGTTATTTTAAGCTTTTAAAATCGTTTATTTATTACTATTTAGATAATATATTATAATTTTTTTTATGAATAATTTAATTAGCATCGGCTACATAATTAACGTTACAAAGGAAATCGAAAACTTTTTCCCTGATATTTTTTTCTATCAAAATATACGTGTCGCCGATGACGAACTAAGTAATCTACTACCGCATTGGGACAAAACTTATAAGTAATTTTTTATTAATAAAAATTGATATCAAAGACTAAAATTTAAATTTTACACTCATTAGATTCATATCAAGAGCAATAAAAAAAGGCCAAAGATCAGGCACTATTAGGAAATCTCCAAGCCCAACCCACTTATCTCATTTGCCATTCTATAATCCCTTCTCGACGCCCTTGCTCGAAAAATCTGAAAAATTTCACAAATTAAATAACATTGATCGGGATAAACATAACATTGAAAGGGACACGAATAATTCCACCAACAATCCAAACACCGGTAATCACAACATTTTAGTGCATTGTAAAATGGGAATAAGCCGTTCAGCTAGCGTTGTCATAGCTTACGTGATGAAAAGCCAGCGACTCTCCTACGATATTGCACTCTCGTTAGTTCGATCGAAGAGGCCCTGCGTACAACCCAACCCAAATTTTGAACGACAGTTACTAACCTATCAGGGCATCTTAAGGGCAAGGTTAGATCTAAATATATATCCCATTACAAATCACCTATAAAAAGTGCTTATAAAAAATAAAATTAAGTTATAATTTCTTATAATGTTTAAAATACATAATCACTTACCTAGAATGTTTGAGTCGATTAGGCCCTAGTTTTTAGGCCTAAATCAATTTGAAGTAAAGGAATTTCGCTAACTTGGGTTCTAATCTCGTTGTTTGATGACACACATAAATATTAAAACCAGGAACTCGAACCCTTTATAAATTCAGGGTTCAAGAATTATTTTTCGATTTATTTTAATTATTAAACGAAATATCACGATATCTTCTCAAATATAAGCCCTAAGTTTTTAAAAAGTATTTAAGATCAGGACATATCCATTAAAATGTTAAAATTAAAATATAGATTTTAAATCATTTAATAAAACGATACATTTTGACTTTGTTTTTTATTCAGTCTTACTTTTGATAATAATCTAACCAATACAAAAAATATACCACCTTTTTTTATATGAAATTTTACAAAATGATGGCTGGTAAAAATCATGCTAACCCACCTAAAAAAATGGTTCAGGTTGGGGTTCTGGTTCAATGAACTATTTCTTAACCAGGTTTGGGTTCAGGGTTCGTGGTCCAGAAAAATAAAGACATTAGTCTTACGAGCGCTTAATTTTGTTCATTTTTTTGATGATATATTAGAATTTTCGGTATTATTCTTTCAATTTAATAATTTAGTATAAATTTGGATCTTCTCTTGTTTTAAGGTAAATTTATTTTTATTTATAATCGGCATTATATTTAACGATTCTTGGTCCCTTTTATGATTCATTTCTATTTAATTTACTTTTTAAATAAAGCTAATTAAAACATGTTTTATCTCGCAATTTCTTTTTCTATGACTAAGATTTCTAAGTGTAAAAGGATTATGGAGATTTTAATTTTTTTAAAAATATAAATATTTTGTTTAAGCCATAACAGACAAATTATGATTTGGCGTTCTAAATCTGAATCAAACTTGAAACCTTATTATCTAAACAAATACAACCACCTAACATCTATATCTTCAGAAAACAATGATTTCCTTAGTTCTTCAAACTCTCAAGATCATAATACTTCTCTCAATGACGTTAACAGTATCAAGATCGGGAATATAGACGAGGAATTTGATGATAGCAACATAGACAATAACAATAATATAAATCATAGAATTTATTATGAGAATGGTGAAAAAAAAAACCTTCAACCCGAATATTTAAAATTTGAAGCGTCTAGCAAATTCTGTATAGGTATGTTAATATAATAAGCAGGGACCTGGAACCTAACCTTTGCTCTTGTTTTAGGTCCCTGGTAATATAGCATAATAAAATGCAATCTTTTAAAAAATAACTTATATTGTATTTCCTATATCTATTTAATTTCGATATTTCAAAAACATGATGCTAATTTTAAAGTAACGCCTGTGTTCCGTATTAATTTATTTTCGAATAGTTTCTCAAGGTCCAGATTAGTCAAAATTTTAAAATATACTTCATTTATTTTTTTAAGACACGATAAACCCATACGATCCTAAAAACGAATATTGTACCCCTCTAGAAATTATAAATAATTCTGACAAAACCTTGACTATCAATACCACGAATGCGACCACTTTTAGGGGAATTCGCAGGGTTGTCAGTTTTTATATGGAGACCCACGAGGCAGGTTTAAAAGAAAATTTTGATGGTAAATCGGTTAATGGCCAGAGTAATAAAAACATCCCCAAATGTGACCTCGAAAAGAAACCTTCACCGAACGTAAAGTCCATTAATAAACAAAACTCGTCCTTCAATTATAATTTTATTAAATCGAAATTAGCCTTTTTATGCAATGCCATGATACAGCATCACGACCATAGGTACAAGGAGGCGAGTTCATGGTCTCGGTACAAGGAGCAAGCCATGTAAACAAAAATAGATGTTTAATTTTTTATTAACTATCCACAAACTTTTGAATTTAAATAATAAAATTAGACTATGAAATGGGAAAATTTTTTATGAAATTAATCGATGTTCATGGTATCGGCATGCAACTTTAATTTTAACCGATAATAATCTTTTTAAGCCTACATTATTTATGAATTTATAAAATATATTAATTTACAAAATTTCTAAGATAAGTAAAATGAAGGTGTTGCTAATTTTTTTAATTTTGTTTCTTTAATTTAATTTACATTTATAAATTATGATAAATATATAAAAAATGAGACGCCAAAATTTATTTTAAGAATGTGATAAATAATTTGTACAAAGATAAAAAAATTTAAGCATTTAAAATAAATATAAATTTGTAAAAATTATTGATTAGAAAAAATGGGCCAAACCACAAATAAAAAATATTGGCGCCTTGTTTTGCAATAGTTTTATAATATATTAATTTATTTCACAAAATTTAATATTATATTTAAAAATTTAAGTTTAACAACACGTCCGATTTTTTTTAAAAAATATTAAGCCTGAATTTAGCTAATTTTTCAGTGATTTTATCAATATTTAGTTTCAAATATCTATAAAGGTTAACCCATTTATATTTTCTGAGGTAATATTTCCTATATACGTTTTTGATATTTGTTTTAAAAGAAAATTAGTTTCACTAGTATCAGTTAAAATTGAAGTATCGATCGTTAGATACTAACTAATACAGTATCGGTGCATCCTCAGATAAAAAAGTTAAATCCGGGCCTGGCCTTAAAATGTGACATTTGCATCATTGATGGAGCGAGTATAGTGTTGAGAAATGACAAGCAGTCATTTTTTATTTGACGGATTCAAATGTGATTATATTATATTATAATTATTTTCAATTTATCGGTCGACATGAGACCTACTTTTATTAATTGTATAATAATTATATGAATTCCGAATTAATGTATATTATTATAAATATGGCGAATGAGTTAAAATTAAATAATGAAAAAATAAATATGGCGAACAATGTAAATTAAGAAATATCGTTCTATTGTTATATATACCAGAACGCTGATCGTATTCTTATTTTATCATTATTAATTAGAGTTGCTGCCCAATATTATTATTTTTCCTCATTCCATGACTGACGCGAAATTTACTAAACATTTTTTGTACAATTAATTCATAGTTTTTTAATAACTGGCATAAAATAAGATATAAGCTTATGTTAAATTTAAATACTTGTTCATTAATTTTAATTTAAAGGAATAACCTTAATGACAGACAAGATGCCTTCATGAAACCTAAACTCATTAAGAACAAAATCAATATGAAAGTCTTGTCAAATCCTGAACGCGAATTTATGGCTCACAACAAAGGATTGCGTCTTTCACATTCTCTTCACATTTCTAAAGGGATGGTTAAAGATAAGACATTAAGTATACTTTAAAAAAATATAATAGTACATCGGCATTTGAAGGCATTTTATATGATTTATTTTAAAATGAATTTTTAAAAAAAACTTAAATTAAATAACATTGATCTTCTGTCTTCATTTACATTTATATTTATACAGTTTTTGTTTAATAATTGCAATTTATAATTAGGTCTGTGTCGATATTTTTGCCGATATTGAAACGAACTAATTATAAAAGTATATATCTCAGAATTGGCACGAGATTGACAGCTAATTTTTTTTGCATGAACATCTTGGAATATCAATATAACATTACAATTTGCCATATAACAAAATTATTTTAAGGAAACGATAGAATCGGACGGTATAAAATTTGTTCACAAAACCCCCATAGGTTGATTTATTTTGCCGCTACCCCATTTAAAATATTTTTACCTGATAACATATTTCTAAGTGTTATTAATATTCTAAGATGGTTATACATTAAAAAATATCTCTCAATTTGTGCCAATTTCGAAATATACACATTTATAACCAGGCTATTTAAATATCGGCAAAAAATCGGTGCAGCACTATTTATAATTTTATGAATGAGTATCCTAATAGTAGGAATTCTTATTTTATACAATATATCTATGTCTACTAATCTCGTAAAATTTTATTTATAAAATAACTAAGATTTTGAAAAATTGACCTATAATAGTACGCCACACAAGAAAGGAAGTCATAATTTTGACTCCTATCCGCCTGCTATCAAAAGGCATACCTGGTACGACGCAGAACCCGTCTCGTTTCACAGAAGATTTTATAATGCCGCAACTATAATTGATAGAAATCATAGAAATATTTTTGCCATCGACGATAAAATAAACCTAAATAAACAACACGCTTTTTGTCAAAATTATCCGGAAACCTCCTTTTTTCCAAGAGGATTCGTACGATCTCGTTCTAGTCTCATTGGAAACGGTATTTACAATAACGAAAAAGGAGCATTTCCTACGCATATAAATTTGAGTATCATTAACGATGAAATATCACCTTGCAACATTGTACCATCACCCAAGAAAGGCGAAAAGGAAAATATCATTCTCAACAATGCCGATAACACGATAGTGTTGAATTCCAGAAGGAAGAAAGGGGAGGCCCTTAAACAACATCAATATTTGCGCCTTTTCAATGATACCAATAATCTATCTAATCCAACGATAAAATCCATCAATACTTCTTCAGAAATGATTCTAAAATCGCGAAAAAGCTCAGTTCCGATTGGTCGCCGTCTGCTTAACAACATCGATAAAAATTTTAAAAATGAAAATTCCTCAACTTTTTTCCAGAATCCTACTCTTAAAACATGACATATTATATAATTCTAAATTTTAGTAATATATACCCAAGTTAAAACATAATCAAATGATTCAATTTATCTTATATATAATTAATATTTATATACTATATTTTTCTGTTATTTATAACTTCGAATATGCTTCGTATTTTATACTTTATATATTGACGTAAGTGAAGAAGTTTATAATAATTATAATCGCTTATTAAATAGGCTAATATAAATATATACTTTAAGCTATTTATATATCTTAAATATATATTTTCTCTATGAAAAAATAAATTAAGAATACTACAGTTTACTTTCAAAATGGTTGACGCTCAAAAAAAGGTTTATGCATGGCAATAAGCTATAGTTATTACAATGACATAAGCTATTCAAAAATTTTCACAATGTTTTTGATATGAAATTAAAACCATTAATATTTTTACTAAGTCAAAAAAAGTAATATACTACGTTAAAATATTTTAATATTCAACTTTAAAAAATTCGTATCAGGTCAATTCAGGGAAACTTACATGGATAAAAATTTAGCGAAACTTATCGCGAAGGAAATTTATATCAAAAGTAACGAAATCAATTCCGCAATTTTTTTTTTCGAGAAACATTTTAAACGAAAATAATATCTCGAATTTATTTCCGTGAAACCTCAACCGTTAATACTTTAAAGCGAATACAATTTAGCGAAACCTTATTCGCGAACACGTGTTAGCGAACTCCCTATTGCCAATTTTCTACGGCGAATATATCTGCACGAAGTCATAACCGCGAAACAATAAATATATTGCAGATGCATCTATTTAAAAGAAAACAAAATAATATTAATTTACTCACAAAAGTTACTTAAATCATAAACGGGAATCATTCACCCCCCCCCCCCCTCCTCCCCTTACCCCTTTCCCTTCCATGCGAAGATATACATATTAAAATTTTTAAAATTTGATCTTCCTCATGAGTTATAGTGATGGAGATGATTAACAAATCGAAAGATATTTCTATTTGATATTCATGTCGAGATATTATGTTAAAATTTTTACCCCCCCCCCCCAATCCTTTTCCTCAGTGTAAACATCCTTTTATTATCTCTCATTTGTTACCCATGTGGAAATATATATTATAAATATTTCACCCTTCTCTTCCCCTCAACCAGGCTCAGACTTAACACAAAGTGACTAACCATGAAATATTTTTAAAATTAACTTTCATTTAATACTCTTATGGAGATTTATTTTAAAGTTTTTTCACTGCCCACACCCTCTACCCCTCTTCAATGAGCTATATCAAAGAATCAAGAAGGATAATAGCTTTCAAAAATTATTTATATTCGCTTTCATTTGATGTCCGTATCTTTGTGTAAAAGAATTTAAATTTCTATAAACCTTGATACGAGGACCTAGATAGAATATTGGTTTTAAAGTGCTCAAAATCATTTTATTACCTTCCATTTGATATCCTTGTCTAGAAATTTTTTTGGAAATATGTTACCCCCATCTCTTCATGATATAGACTAGAAGATATAAAGTAATGATTAATTTTAAAACTCAAAAAATCATGCTTATGCACTTAAAAATAATTGTAAAAATTTCTGAGCGATATATTATATTTTTTAAGAAATTCAATTTTAAGAACTCGAGGGCAGGAGATTGTTCTTCGCTGTACTCGTTTATTGTATTAAGAGGTCGAGTGTTCTGTCGAAAATCATCGGATCGAACTCTCGTTCCATGGCTGAGAGGTCCACTTGGAATTCATTCAAAATTCAATTCTCCCACATGTATTATAATAAAGCATTACATATTGGCCTAAACACCGATGTTTGGCAAACTTTCCGCTTTAAGATTACGTTTTAATATTAGATTCAGATTCCAATCAAATTTTTTGGAAATATACTAATATTATATAATAAACAGAAAAGATAAAAAAATATATACAAATATCGTAAAATCATAAGATTCAAAAATATTTTGAAATTGGGGAAATCCCTTATTTCAGTTATATGTAATTTATTTTCTAATCGCCATTCAAAATCAAAGGCTTATGAGTAATGTTATATTTTTTATTTAGCTTATATAACTGTTTTTGGTTAGTGACTGGCAAAACTGATTGATGAATTAAGTACTCATCAGACAATAAATATTGGCGTAACCCTGATAAGGTTCAACTAATAAACTCATTGATAAAGCCAGTTTCTTGTCGAGCTTATTAATAAGATAAGGAGGAAAAGCATAGGAGAGGATAGTAAGAAAATTTTATTCCAATAAAAAAAATTTATTAACCAAATTTAAGTTCATTAATCATTATAATTTATTAAGGTTAAAAGAAAATTAAAAACTCTATTATTGAATCAATCTTGCACCTATTTTTAAAAATATTTTTCAAATATATATTAAGTAATATATTTAAAGATTGATGTGGTATATTCTAGAAGAGAAGCCACCTTATTAATTATATAAACTATGTATTTTAAATTTTATTTAAAGCGCTTCTTAGAAGAACCTTGTATAAAATCTTGCACATTTTTAGAAAAAAGTGGAAAAATTATTATATCAATATCAACCGTATAATAAAATAGAAAAGATTTCTTCCATGTGGATTAAAAATATCTAACATATTTTATATTTTTATTTGTAAAACATTTCGTTAGGAAACGTTAATAAGGTAATATATAAATATAAATATTTATATTTTTAGGTTCATATAATAGTCTATGCAAACTATCAAATGTGTAGTTGTTGGGGATGGAGCAGTAGGGAAAACTTGTTTACTCATATCTTACACCACAAATAAGTTCCCATCTGAATATGTTCCTACGGTATACATTCACTCTTTATAAATAAATGACTAAGATAAAAATTAAGTAGAGATAAAAGCTTATTATAATATAATATGCTTCCTAACATAGTACATTTAAGTTTTCTTTTATTGAGTTAATTGAAGGATTAATGTTTTAGGTGTTTGATAATTATGCTGTCACAGTTATGATTGGTGGTGAACCTTATACGTTAGGCCTTTTTGACACAGCAGGTCAAGAAGATTATGATAGACTAAGACCTCTTAGCTATCCACAGACTGATGTCTTCCTAGTATGTTTTTCTGTTGTTTCACCCTCAAGCTTTGAAAATGTTAAAGAAAAGGTAAATACAATAGTGATTTTTAAAATTCATAAAGTGTAAACAATTTACTAATTAATTAGCAATTTTATATAAGTATTTTTATTTATTATAAAATATAATTCAAATTTTTTTCATAAGTGTTATATATTAAAACTCTCTTTATCAGGAAGGTTATATTTAGATTTCGAAAAAAAGCATTTCCAAAATTTATATCAGTTTTATTTAAGAATCACAGATTTATTAATGATACATTTATGATATAATTCTAATAAGGTCCATTGATACTTAAACATATGCATGTTTCCCAAATATATTTGATACTGATATATAAAAATAAAATTATTGAAACATTTATTTTAGTATTGAACAGGGTTTTGAACCGTTAAGCATAACGGTTCGGTTTGTTCCGAGTTGTAGTTTAAAATTTTATAAAGGTTTTGTTCCATTTTGGTTTTTAAAAAAAAATTCATATCGATTCAGTTTGGTTTATAATTTATAACGGTTCATTTTGGTTTGTTCCGGTTTTTATAAATTTGATTTAAAAAAAATGAATCCTTGTATATATTAATTTTAGAGAAAAATCTTTTCAATTTATAATTTCTTATTTAATTTAACCATGCTAATAGATATTTTTATTAAACTTAGTAAATATAAATTAAAAAAATTAATTTTTTTTATTTCATAAATAAATAAGATAAAAACAAACATGCGTAAATACAATGATGAATAAAATAACTAAATATAATAAAATGTATACTATTTCTGTTTAAAAATAGAATTAGAACTGATAACTAAAATATTTTCTAATATTTCAGGATTTAATGTAGTTCTCTACGCAGAGATTATAAACTTAAAGCTAGAAAATGCTCTTTCTACAGATACCTGCATAGCTGGAACTGCTTGCACATTTATAGCTAACTTATAAAGTTCCGGCATACTATTCTTTACATTTTCCCAATAATTCAAAAGATAAGTATCTTTTTCTAATCTCTCAAATGACCAAATTATATATTCTATTTCTATACATTTATTATAATTTTCTATGCCCTGAGAATTATTCTTATTAAGACTTTCATGCAACTTTAATAAATCTTCAAAATCATCATCTAAATTATCCAAATGCGAACACGTAGGCATAGTATATAGAATTTCAATATTCTGATTATTTAGACTTTGTATCAAGTTCCAAGTTTTACAAAGATGTTTTCTGGCGATCTCTCTTTCTTCAAATGTTAAAAATATTATTTTAATAATAAATAATTTATAATGACTTAAATGAATATTAGAATTCTGAATTTAAAAAAACAATATGATTAAAAAAAATAATTATCATATCATTAAAATATTGCTGACCATTTTATTTATTGTCATTTAAATTCTATGATCCAAGTTTTTATAATGAGATAAAAAATAAACCATATAATGTAAAAATCAATGTAAAAAGTACTTGATTTCTATTAGATGTTAGTTATTAATAGTAGATTTATTTAATTCTTTCCTAAATTATTAGCAAGTATTATTATAAAAGCTTATTAATAACTTATATATATAAACTTGTTAATTTAGCCAAGAATAATTATGTGTGATTTTAAGATATCTTATCTAATTAACAGATAATTAGCCTAATCTCTAATAAAATAAGTATTTTAAGAAAAAAACAATAAACTTTTGATAATATAAAAATATTTCATTTGAAAAGAAATCACCAATTTAAAAATTAAAATTTCAAATTTAGGTACCGGTTTAAACCGGTTCAAAATATTTATTTCGGTTCGCTCTTTTTATATTTTCTTTATAACGGTTTGGTTAAGGTTACGGTTCAGAAAATCATAACAGTTCATTCCGGTTTGGCGGTTCAGAAATAAATTATTAATCATTAACAAATACCTTTATAAAATACAATACATTTTATAAATAGCATTATTTAATACTAATATCAGAGATATATATCAGTCAATAATGCTGGCTTTGGCTTATCTGGTGCCCACACAAAAAACACTATGCTGCACTTTTAATAAAAGTGCTAATTTTCCAAAAAAAAATTATTTAGGAATTATATTATAAATATTCATTTAAATTTTAAAAATACTAATCACCCTTGTTTGATTTAAAAAAATTTAATGCTTATTTCTCTGCATTGTTTGAAATTGCACATCCAATAGGCAGGGCAAATATAAGATATCTTTATATCTAATATTTTTTTATGCATTTTAAAAAAGTATTTGTAAAAAATGAATATCTCTATCTTTATTTATATAATATACAAAATATACAGTTAATATAACATTTTGTTTTGTTAATTTTCATAACATAATCATATTTAATTTCATATATAATATAATATAAATAAAAAGTATTAAATCATTATATGTTAAAAATTAGTATTTAAAAGAAAGATTTTTATATATCAGAATGGCAAATATAAAAAAGAAAAAACAAGTGCATATATTTCTTAATTTTAGATAGAAAAAAAGGAAAGGGGAAAAAGAGTTAATTACAAACATTTAAAGGAAGAGTAGACCAATCTAAGTCATTCTACTCAGGAAAGGAACCCATGAAGCATATGAAATTAGATTTTATACACATCAGAATTTCTATGTGCTGACTTAAGTAAACACTTACTTTCAGATATCCTGATTTAATACTTGGGCCATTCCATGTCAAATCGATCAAAAAAAACACATTTTCAGCAAACCCCTTTTAAAATTGTTAAAAATTTCTAGAATTATTTAGATATGTTAAAAAAAATGAGAAAGCCGTAACTTGCTAGCACACCTGGTTCTCGAGGTATAAAGCCTCATAGGGACAAAAAAGAGCCACTTTGGAATCTGTAAAATTTTTAGAATTCTTATATTTCAAAAACTATTTATAGTAAAAAATATATAGCCTATCATATTGTAGGTAAAAAAATCTCTAAAGGGCTTTAAAAGAATAAAAATTGGCGGAAATTTGTATTTTAACTTCCGGTTTACCACTATTGCTTTACCAGTAGTTTTTAAGCAAAAAATGGAGTTTGTTTTTGAATTTTTTTTACCTTTTATTTAGACACCTTTTTTAAATATATATATAGAATGTCAAAACCTTGGCGACGCTATCGACTCTTCTGAAATATACATTTTAACCAAAAATATATATAGAATGTCAAAACCTTGGCGACGCTATCGACTCTTCTGAAATATACATTTTAACCAAAAATTGAAAAAATAGATGGCGCTAATGGTTGAATTTACATTATTTAAATCTCTACTTTGCTAATATAGCGAATGAATTATTAGCTCGATTATATATAACTGCTGCATTAAAAAAGAATATTTTATTAGGCATATTATTGATAATATTTTACGAGCATATTATTTTACAAAATAAACTGTTTAAAACGATCTCTTTTCATAAAAATTTTAACTTGCCGGTTCAGATTAATTTTAAATAATTCAATCCGTTTGCAGCTTATTATTTTATCGTCTTTCTACCAATAACATTCGTGATTTGGAAAGTGAAAAAACATATTCTAGGTGCAGATCAATTAACATTTTATTCTATATCACAGATGGACGTACCAACTGTTAAATATCAAAATTTTGCAACCCATTTACTACAAAGATATTATTATCGCAAGAAAAGAAAATAGCAAATAATTTTAGAAGAGAGATTCAATAAAGCGCGTACAATACAAGGAACGCAAAAAATTCATATTTTTCATCCAATTTCTCAGGACAAAATTGAAGCAAAATTTTATTCAAACTCAACAGAATCCCAAATATTAAATATAACATTTCACTCGAATATTAATGCGAATTTACTATATGAAAAAATAAATGGGTATATAACATGTAACTTTATGTTTTAGAAAAAAATGAAAAAGAGGAGGTGTTAGTTAGTTTTTTCACCTTTTTGCATCCTCAAGGACCCTTCTTATACATATTCCTCCTTGATTGACAAATTGTGGATACATAAATCACAAATTTTAGATGTGGTCAGTTCTTCAACTGTTACCGGACCGACATATACTTTAAATAAGGATGAGACAATTAAAACCATTTTCTTATAATATATAATTATTTATATCTAACTAAATAGATGTTTCAAATATATTTTAAATTATGGAATGAATATAATTATCTATCTATATTTCTATATTATTAATAAAAATTAATAATAAAAAAATTATATGAATATTGGAAATTTATTAGATTATTAAGTGTCTAATGGGCATTTGTCCACACTGCCCTTCAGTTTAATTAGTATATTTAATATAAATAAATATTTTAGTATAAAAAGTGAAAATATCCTGTTATTGGTAAATTAGCCACTAAATTTTAACCATAATCCCTTATTCCATAAAGCTCCATCTATTTTTTTAATTTTTGTTAAAAATATATATTTCGGAGTAGTCGACAGCGTCGCCAAGGTTTTGACATCGTAAATATATTTATAAAAAGCAAAAAAAAATTCTAAAACAAACTTTCTTTTTTGCTTGAAAACACAGGTAAAGCAATATAGATAAACCGGAAGTTAAAGGCTCAAATTGGCGCCAATTTTTATTATTTTTTGTTAGTCCTTTAGAGATTTTAATTTTTTTTACTATATAAGCATTTTAAAAATTTTACAGACTCCCTTTTTGCACCTATATCTCGGGAATCAGGTATGCTAACGAGCTAAAATAAACGGCTTTCTCATTTTTTTACCTATCTAAATAATTTCAGAAATTTTTAATTTTAAAAGGGGTCGGCCGAATTGTGATCGATTTGACGTGGAATGGCCTAGCAATATATTTTGCCCTATTTTATCTAAAATTTAATGGATAAACCCCCCCCCCCCCCCTCCCTCCAACCCAATAAATTTATTATACCCTCTACCCTCCGTAAATGCCTATCCCCCTTCAAAAAATTTGTAAGCAAACCCCCCAAAGAAATATTTATTGAAATGATATACCATTTATTTTCCTCCTGATATTTATTTATATAGATTTTAAAAATTATACTACATTTGATTCAATGTTTATTTAAAAAATCAAATATAGTGGGTTCCTGAAATAACTCACCACTGCCAAAGGACTCCATTTCTTCTAGTAGGTACCCAAATAGATCTTAGAGACGATTCCTACACTCTTGAAAAATTGGCTAAAAATAAGCAAAAGCCAGTAACGATTGAAATGGGTGAACGTTTGGGAAAAGAGCTCAAAGCCGTCAAATACGTTGAGTGTTCAGCCCTCACTCAAGTTTGTAACTTAAAATTTTTTAGGCTTCAATTATTATTAATATATGTTATTTACAACCATTTTTGATGGAATACGACTCCAATTTTATTCAAAAATCTCAGATTTTGCACACGTTTTTCATTTACCTTTTTACTCTTGACTCTATAAAAATATAAAATTTTAGCCTAATCACAGTTATGAGACTACCAAACATTTGCAAAAATTCTAACTTAAAATATGAATTTAAAAAAAGACCGATCTTAATATAACTATTATATTTTATAACTATGGCTAAGAATCCCCCATTGATTTTATTAAAAAAAATATATAAATTATTTAGAGAATATTACTCTAATTTATTAAAATGTGAAAATACTTTTAGTCTAAAACTAATGCCATAACACATCTGAGCATTCAATGAATTAAGAGTTTGTAAAAAAACTAAAACTATCGACTAAAAAAATTATTTCAGCCAGCCGGGCAAAAAAATTGGGCCAGGTTTGTATATAATTGATGAATTCCGATATTTCATAGAAGTGATAATCCGTAAAGTATAATGTTTTAAATTAATCACTCACCAATATAATAAATAGTTATTTTGTTGTTTAATAACACATATTTAGGTTTAGGCTAAAAATTGAGTCGGGCAAACTTATTTAATAATGGAAACCGGGCTGGGCAAGAATTTGGCTGGGCTGAACTCAAACTAAATTCACACTAGGCCGGGCCTTGATATTTTGCCATTTGTGCACCTCTTACGATATGCCCACTACTTTAAAATATGGGAATTCCTCGAAATTAATACAACTAAGTAGGTAATAAAATTATGTGAAAACTCTTGAAATTTTCAAATGTTTGGAAATGTTATTTGCAATGCTCAATTTTTGAACTGCTCCCTTTTAAATATGCGCTTGAACACCATGACCTTAGCATAAACCCAACATGTGTATTATTTCAAATAATGTAACAAAATAAATTTGTTTTTAGAAATATTATAAGTAATGTTCAAAAATAAAGTTTCGATTTTAAAAGTTAGAACCTCGATAACTTTAAAAAAATAAAAAATATGGATTTTTAGGGGTCAAGCTCAAAATATCAAAGGATGAAACTAAATCTTGGGTTTAAGATACTATTTTACCATATACTTATTATATTTATAATAAATAAAAATTACGAATATTATAGAAAGGACTGAAAAATGTGTTTGATGAAGCAATTCTCGCCGCATTGGAACCTCCAGAAGTTCCCAAAAAGAAAAAATGTCTCATTATTTGAGCCCATTGAAATCTTGCGTGTTTCCCATTCGTTATAATAATAAACAAATTATTAGATGTATGAATAGATTATCATTTAAATAAAAATTCTAAACCCAGCTCATTAATTACCAATATATTGCTTCCTATCTTATTAATTGTATTGCTTTACCACAAAAACTCGTTTTTTAAAGTTTTAAATTCATATAAAATTGCCAAAGTTTATAATGTATAAATTTATCATGGCTTATATATAACAAATATTAACCAACTTATCAATCTAGATAATTTTTTCCAAATATATCTTATTACTATTTTAATATAAAATTTACCTTTGTAGAATATGTTTTTCTAGAATGTTCCAGGAATATTATCCATCCACATATTTATATTATGTACGATGCTCAATATTTGTTTGCACATCCCTATTTAAATTTTCTTATTTTTTTAAATTGTGAATGGCTGTAAATAATTTATCAATTTTATTTGCCTTATTTTAAGTACCTTTTTTATAGAAAAATTTGCTATATCAACATTTTCCCAGTAGGGACCAAATTTGATTGAAATTAATATAGTACTTTTGCATTATACAGGTACAAACATCAATATTATACATAATTTAATTTTATTAATACTTATTTATTATGAGCATTTACTTTTATATTTCATATTATATATAATTTTTTATAATAACTTATTTATATGTTTTTCATTTTTGTATTACATATAATACTTTACTTAATCGTGAGCTTAAACGGATTTTTTGGCAATTTCTTTTTATTGATTTAAAGCCAATGATGTAATTGTATATTTATTCATATAGTATATAAATTTTTATTTAATAAAAAAATAAATATATTTACGGCCAAAAATGTTCCGTTCCACATTTCAGATCTGGAACGCGTTTATAAAAAATATTTAATTTGATTCCTATATTTAGTGTTGTTAAACGACTCGTTTTGAGCCGATTTTTAAAAACGGCGAACTCAATATTTTAGCCAGAAAAATATAGCCTAAGCCTTGAGATTTCGATAATATATGTATGGACCTTTGTTCCTTCTATAAGCAAAATCTTCAGGCTTGCGTAATATTTTTCTAGGTGAAGTATTGAGTTAGCCGTTTTAAAAAATCGGCTCAAAACGAGTCGTTTAACAACACTACCTATATTATTAAACTACAATCATTAATCTGTATTAATTTTTCCATCTATGCATTAATAATTCTCATAAATATTATTTATATTTGTTGGGTGGTGTTAATAAAAATAGGAGTGTGGGAAAACATCTTCCAACAATAACTTGCTAGCAATATTCTCTACTAAAATTTAAAATCATTTTATGTAAAATTATAACAAATTTTTAGGAAAAGCATATATTTATTTATTTAAAATATTAAATTAATAGAGGCCGATAAATGTAAAAAATTAACAAATAGGAGAAATTTAAGAAATAATCTAAAAGGTAGCAAAGAGAAGAAAGCAATATTGGAAATGGTATTTTATAGAAGAAATAAAGCTTAGATAGTTGGAGAAAATAATTGCGATAGCAATTCTTTGTCATAGAAAGGAGTTTATTGGTCTCTTCACGGATCCATCTTCCTATTTCTCTAAAAAAAACTGAGCTCTGCTACCAAAGGCCGTTAGAGCAGAGCAAGCAATGGGTATGATTGTGTAAGAAAGAGTAATGGAACTTTATTTGGTTATTTTTCAAGATCTAGTAAGTGCGAGGGCATCGGTGTTTTAATTGCGTGAGGAATTTTGATTGATACATGTAAAGTTTAAATTCAGAGGCTGATCGCATGACCATGGATTTGAGAACATTTTGTCAGGACGTTTATCATTGTTCCGAAAGATGTCGGTTGGTTCCAGTCTAGAGAGGTTGATTTTCTGATTGCATTAGTAGGACAAAACAATTTTGCAGTTAAGCCTTAGCCCAATATCAAATCTTAGATTTTCCGTGATAAAAGCAAATCGAGATTATTAGGAGAAATGGCTTCCAGGAACTCATAAACATGCTTGGTATATGTGTTAGAAATCGAAATTGTAATAAGGAAGGTTCGATTTTAGGTAAGCGACAGAGCCTTTGTTGAGTAGAGCATCGCCATCTCTCTGTAAATAAGAGGAAATTCGTGTGTTTGAGACAAAGGAATTGTCCAACTTTCCCGCTCTATTAACTCTAATTTCCCTTCGTTCCTTGTTCCTTCTATTGAATAGTGAATTAAATAGTTCATCTTTCGATTCATTTAAATGAATGGAATAATTTATTATTTATATGAATAATATAATATACTATTCAGATCTTAAAATTAAAAAATGTTATCCCCCACCCTCTTACAATATATAAACACGTTATGAATACCTTATATGAACAATTAAGCCGACTGAAACAGCAGATATGACTTTAAAATATCATCTTAAAAAATTAGATTAACTACTCAACATTCATCACCAGAATTTGGAGCCACACGACAATTTTACTAGTCTAGAAAATTAATGTTATTCATTTTCATCTCATAAAAGATATATCATATAAAAATAAAACCATCGGATCTTCCCAAACTTTAAATTTTGGCTAAAAAATTCTAGCTTTAAGCTGAGAGATCTGGAAATTCAATTTTTTGACTTGGCTTAATATTTTTATTAATTTATAAACTAGATTCCAAATATTTATTAGTTATTTTGACATATCCGAAATTTTTATCTGTTCATTCGAGCCTAGCATATTATATATTTTAATCTCAAGCCCGGCCCGAAAATTTTAATTGAGAAATATAAATCAAACACATTTTTATAAAGTTAAATTATATAAAAATCACGAGTTATTTGTCCTAATTCCAAAGTTATTTTAATAAAATAAGCGAAAACAATCATTGACTATTTTATTTTTTAGAATAATTGAGCCCAACCCAAATTTTTTAAAATTTAAACTCTAGCCCAGTCCAATATTTAAAATTTTTTAAAAACCCAAGTCTGAATTCTGATTTCAGGACTTTAAAGAGCCCGATTAAAGTGTGATTTTATATTACTATGCAAGAAATAAATATTTCAAAAAAATCTTTTAGATCGAAATATTCGGCGCCGTCGCCGATTATTATTCGATCGTTTCTAAAATAGAAACGCTACTGCCAATAAGGCTATTGGCACACAGGTTACATATATCAAATAGAAAATATTTTTTTAATTTACCCACCCAACTGGCGTCTATCAAAAACCGGAATATTATGTAGAAGATCGATATCAAAATACCAGACCGATCTTTCCTAGTCCCGCGAATGTCATTAATTGGCTACTTCATGGGGACTATTAAGTGTAAATTTTATAATCAATATATAATATATTTTATAGGCATTTTAATCGCAGAGTAAACGATCAAAAGAAGTTAAGATGGTAAGAAAGTACAATATTAAATTTACCTCCAAGAAAAAATATGATTATATCTTTAATTGGTTGCATACATATAAAAATTTATCTCTTCATTCGAAAAAGAGAATTAAATTGCGATATCTTTTGGTTTTGGGGATACGTCTATTATTATTGAGAAAATATTCAAACAATTTTAATTTTATTTTGACAAAAAATTAATTAAAATAAGATATATATATATATTCTATTTAAAATTTTAACAATTGCGAAAATATTTAATAATTTTAAAAAAATACTAGAAATCTTATAAATTGAATTTTATAATAAAATGTTTATTATTTAATACCTTAAACGGTCAAGATCGGACCGAACACTATTTTTTAAAATTAGTCTGGACCGAACTTTTGACCTTCACTACTGCCGCCTTTCTTGTTAAATAGAAAAGAAGAACATAGAAATTAATCGAAAAAAGGAATACAACTGTTTTAAATCTTATATAATATGGCACTCCTGTTGGAGGTCATGAAGGATTTCCAAAGCTCATAAGACCTCCTTCCTTAAATTCTACCATTCTCAAGATCATTTACGCTCTCAAACGTTATTTCATATACTGACTTACTGGGCTTTAAAATCACAACCAAAGCTATAACCCTCCCCCATCTACTCTAAGCAAAGAAATTGGGTCACCCCGATAGTTGTCGGGTCCGTTGATCATATAAGTTGACGATTATAAACCCTATTCGATTTTCTTAACCAGGGCTACGGTTACGAATTTCTTAAAGCCATTCTTTCCAGGAACTTGGGCCCACAAGATATTGTGGTCGTCACTGTTTACATTGCAAACATAGATGTAGCCAGGAATTTGCAAAATGGGGGGGGGGGGGTTATTAGATTGGAGGTTTCCCCATAAATGGTAGTGTATATTTTTAAAACTTTTTTTAATTCTAAATGATTTTCGTCAAAAATTTTAAATAATAAAAGTCATTATTTTGAAAAAATCAATAACTTTGCATGTTTTTCTATCAAATTATCGTTTATAGTGATAAATTGTATACATTATTTGGGGAGAGGAGGGAATTTCTATAAGTTTAAATGCGGTTTACGTAAACAGGTATATTGTCCCTAACGGGTCCCTTTGCCACCTTATCCGGGCAGGCCTATGTTTGCAAATATAGCAATGATCGATTTATTCTCCACATCATTTGTAATTCCCTCATCCATCTCCCTTCACACGATATGCCATCGTCTCTTGAACCATTCAGCCTATCAATGATAGTCGTCACCAGGACAGTATAAGTCGCCCACAGACTAGTACACCATGATTTAAAAATAGGTTAGTTTTTAGCATGGAACCCCTTCCTGCCTCCCATCTAAGCAGTAATATATTATCAGCTGAGGCAGAAAACCTATAATACGGTGATATCCTTAGCGATTACATATTCCCTATAACAACTACCGCCCCACTTACTTCATTTGCTACCCATAACCTCTTCTTCATTTAAAACCTATACAAACTCATCTCTGCCAAAATAGATTTCCCAAATGAGGGATTTTATACGCTAAAGAATAGCCATTCAAATTATTAAACTGAAACTTTCTACTTTCGCTCATTTACTATTTGAAGGGCCATTCTCTAATGACTAACTTTTTGTTCTCACTCATATTATTTAAAAATTTATAGATTTTATGATTTATATTATTAATAAAATTGTCTAAAAATAATAAATAAAAGATAGATACGTATATATCATTTTCCAAATAAATGTTTACTTATTTATCTGAAAAAAAAATTGGAACAAGTTGGATTCAAGAGGCTTGAATTGAAAGACAAGACTCACAAAAACCAAAAAAAAATTAAAATTATATAAAAAAATACACCAAAACAAATAATATCCCAATTGATTGACATTTCTTATAATATATTATATTATTTAATTTCCAATTTCATGCAATGACATATATATGTCATTGATTTCATCAGCTGCAACAATGACGATACACAAAAAAAACAGGATTGTGCATAGTAGCGTTCTCAAGATTTGGGCCCATTTTTAAAAACGGCCCGATTATGATTTCAGTCAAAATAATATTACGTAAATCTTGAGGATTATATAGTATTATTTTGGCTAATAATCGGGCCTTTTAACAACACTAGTACATAAGTGGTAGCAAGCAATGGGGCGTGGAGCGCTTCATTCCTTCAAAAATTTACCCTTTTCATAAATATCATTTTAGGCTAATAAAAACTAGTACCCTACATTTCTCCTATCCTACCTCAAAAATATTAAAATATGTCACTATGATCAATAATTTAAAAGTTAAAGCACAAGTTAATAAAAAAAAATTAAAATAATGATTATATAACAAAATTTTCAGGAAAAGGATTTTTAATAAAAA